ACTCGACGGCACTTAACAACAACAACAACAAAATTGCCATTCTCCCAGAAGAAGAATTTAGATTTCTTCTCTAAAGAAGGTAAACCAGAGCTACTTTGACTGAAAGATACCAGGTTCAACTGAGGGCAAGGGTACCATACTCAAAACGGGGATCTGTGAGAATCTAATACTGAACTGTGGGACTTCCAATGCTATTTTCACATGACTTTCTAAAAGTAATAAGCAGGAGATTGGAAGATTCTTCTCTAAGGAATCCCCATAATGCTACAGAAAAGATGTAAAGATACTCTCTCTAGGGTATACAAATGTCCCAGCCAAATATCTCTATTAAAAAACCAATTAGTCACCAAGCACCACCATACATACACTCAACTCTTCCAAATCAGCCTTTTAACATTCTTTTCTGAAGACAGCTATGCATTACTAGAGAAGCGCAAAATACAGAAAGAAAAAAAAAAAAAACTTGAAGACAATTCAGAGAGAAGAAAACAAAACTATCATTATCTCCTCAAAGAGAAAAAACATTTCATCCATGAAACAAGAACAAGATGCTATATAAAAGGAATATATAGTATCAACATGTCCAACACATCTGAATAATAATGTCAAAAAAAAGTGAAAAGAGAAAATAGAGGGGAAGAAATTACTGGCTAAACAATTCAAGATAATTTCCTACAACTGATGAATGAGCTTTCAGTTAAGGTCTACTGAATACCAGCAAAATGAATTAAAAAAAAAAGAGACCCTTGAAACCTTCACAAAAAAAAAAAAAAAGAGAGAGAGAGGCCCTTCCAAAGGCACATCACTGTAAAATTTCAGTGACGAGAAGATTTCAAAAGCTATTAGAAAGAAAAAAAAAAGCCACATATAAAGTATCCAGAATAAAAATATCATCAGACTTTTCTATAGTAATAGCAGAAACTAAAAAAGAGCAGAGCAATGCACAAATAAATAAAGGAAAATAATTGCTGACTTGAATCCTATACACAAGGGACATCTGGCAATGTCTGGAGACATTTTTGGTTGTCACATCTAGAGAAGGAGGAAAGCCCCTGAGAGATATATCATACTTATACAACAGTGAACGTAAATGCAGCTCCATTGAGTACTATAAAGATGAGATTTGTCCTATTTAAGGAAATTATGTTAACTAAGAAAAGAAATAATGTAATTTATGAGTATAGAGTACATATGTACAACTTTGATACCGATTAGTATAGTATCTTCATGTTAAAAGACTAAAAGAATAAAAAGAATTACCATTATGAAATTCTGGAGCTCTTAGAGACCCCTGAATTCGATGAGACGGATGACGATAGGATGCAGCATAGGGTGGAGAAGGACACTGCCCAAGGGTGTTTGCTGGAGACTCTGGAATTTTTGAAACTGGATGAGTTTCTTCAGCAAATTTGGTGATATTGGTTTCAGAATCTTCCCTCAAAGGCAGGGGATCAACTGTTTTCACACCAGCAGCTGGAGAAGTCAGTAGGGGTATTGCACGACTTTCCTTCTGAATGATTAAAATAAAAAAAATCATACATGGCTTTTGTGTGTGTGTGTGTGTGTGTATCATTTAAACATAAGAAATATAACCATAAAAGCCATGATAAGTGAAAATGTATGTAACTTCCATGTGGGGAAGGTGCTATAAGCCTAAGAACAAATAGAGGAAAACAAATCTGGCTATATTAAAACAATATATATATATATGCATTCAAAAAGTAAAAGGAAAATGCCAAACTTGGAAAATATACAACTCACATAACTGACAAAGAATTATTACCACTGCTCATATATTTTTCTTTAGAAGTAATAGGAAAAGGATAAACCTAATCAGCCACTCCTTGGAAGGATGGTTGGGCAATCTACTTCCATAGTGATACTGCCTCGGAAACCCGAGGAGGTGTCACTATGAGTTGGGTCCGACTCGATGGCAAATAACAAAAACAACTGGAAAATAGAAAAAGGATACAAATAAGTAACTCATATGTACACAAATTGTTGTGTTGATGGGTCCTGTAGAGTTGATTCTGACTCAAGCAACTCCATGTGACAGAGTAGAACTGCCCCCACAGGGTTTCCTAGGCTTTAATCTTCATGGGAGGAAACCGCCAAGTCTTTTTCTCTTGCAGAGCCACTGGGTGAATTTAAACCACCAACCTTTCAGTTAGTAGCCACGCACTTAACCATTGTGATTACAAACAGTAAAACTATTCTACCTCACTAATAATCAAGTAACTTCAAAATAAAAGCACTGTGGTACTAATTTTTCACTTGTCCAGTTGCAAAGATCAGTTTGAGAAAAAAATAAATAAACTGTAATACCCAGAGCTGGTAAGCATGTGGAAAAATTAGCATTCTGATACTTAGTGGGAACACAGTTTTTCTGGTGGGCTGGCAATACATAACAAAAGCCTTAAAATTTTTATGTTCTTTTATCACAAAAGAGTACAACAAACAAACGCAACCCACTGCTATGGAGTCAGATCCGACTCATAGCAACCCCTCCTTGGGTTTCCAAGGCGGTATCACTACAGAAGTAGATTGCCTGACCTTCCTTCCGAGGAGTGGCTGGTGGGTTTGAACCGCCAGCCTTCTGGTTAGCAGTCAAATGCCTTAGGCACTACACCACCAAAGCTCCCCACAAAATAGTACTTGGATATTTATACAAAAAAAAAAAAAAAAAGAATATCATAATATGAACAAAAATGTAGCTAAAGCCTGAATGTGCTTTACAATTTTTCATAAAATTAAGAAATAGCCTAAATGTTCTAATAGGCATTTGGTTTTTTTAAAAAACAAAATAAAACAAAACCATGGTATAACTAAGAAGCTCTGGTGGCGTAGCAGATAAGGCAGTTGGCTGCCACCCAGAAGGTCAGTGGTTCAAACCCACCAGCTACTCAGTGAAAGGAAGATGGGGTGGATCTACTTCTGCAAAGATTTACAGTCTCAGAAACCCAGTGGGGTAGCTATGAGTTGGATTCGACTCAATGGCAATGAGTTTGTTTTTTGGTATGGTATACTATACACTGCATATCATATTAAAAATAAAATTACAAATGATATGTAGTGATATGGAAGCATGTTTACAATATATTGCTAGGTGAGAAGAAGAGATTATAAAATCACACATACAGTATTAATGGAATTTTTAAAGTAAAGAAATATACTAATACATATATTCCTAAATATCACAAAAATTTAACAGTAGATACTTCTAGACAGTGGGTACAAGATCAATTATTTTTTATTATTAGTTTGCTCAGTATTTCCTACAATGATAACGTATCACTATCCTAAAAGTCCCTGTATAATTTTTTTTTTTTAGAGGAATGTAAAGCTGTAAAATCAAATACCATTCCATACTCTGATTATTTCCTGTAACTGTTGCCTTCACTTATTAACTTTGAATTTATCATGCAATATTCAAGCAATGGCTTTTTTACTTTAGGTATCATTTTCTGCAATTAGGAGACTTACTGTCTCAAAGTAGAGAAAGTCTGGAATCTCAACCACCAAAAATACATTTTAAATCAAGATCCAGATCCAACTACAAAATTTCCACATGCTTCCTTTTTAACTACAAGTATTGCTTAGTATAATGCATATAATTAATTCTAAAGAAATATTCTGATTTTTTTTTCCTTTTTCTACTTATATTCAAAGAACTTGAAATCTCTTTCAAGTTCATTTTCCTGTTGCTTAAAAACTATGAATGAAACATGTAAATTATTTCTAACACATGGGTTCCCAGATTTCACTTAACAGCTTCTGTGGTCTATTTCTGAGCCTAAAGCCTCCTATTGGCCTCACTGCCTCCGCTCAGGTCCTGAGTGTATATAGTCCATTCCTCACTGAGAAGCAGAATAATTTTATCATGTAGATCAGATCATATTTACTTTGTTGCTTCAGATCTTCCAGGGGCTGTTTAATGCCATTAGAGCAATGTCCAAAATCCTTACCCTGGCCTCCCTTTCCAACCTCATTTCCTATAGCTGCCCTTGTCCCACACTAGGCACCAGCCACAAAGGCCTTTTCTCTCTTTTTAAAACACACCACATTTGTTCTTGCTCCAGGGGCTTTGCACTTGCTGTTCCCTTATCTAGAAAACCATCTCTGTCCCAGATATCTGCATGGCACCTCCTTCACTGGTCAGATCTTAGTTAAAGTGTCATCTCCTCAGAGGTGTATCTTTTTTGTTTTTCTTTTTCTTCTTCTTCTTTTTTTTTTTTTTAATTGTGATTTGGGTGAAGATTTACAGAGCAAATTCACTTTCCATACA